ATTAATGCAGATAAGGATGGTGATGGAAGAATATCTTTTGAAGAATTCTGTGCTGTAAGTAACCTCTAAGGAAAACTTTTTATTTAAAATAAAAGGAAGGTAAACAGTATAAAGGGTAAGGTTGTAAAAGCAGAGCGTTTCTTCTGATCTGGCCACAGCTCCTCACAACGCAGCATTATTATAGATGGCATTATTGTCTTCTGGCTTTCCACAGAGTGCAGCGTGTCTTCTGATGTGTGAGTCAGTCATGAGTTGGTTCATCGGGGATGCAATTTTCCCATTGAATCTAGTGCCTCTGAAGGGGAGGAGGGTTTCATTCAGAGAATAGCAACTTTTGCAACACAATTCCTATGCTGTTTTATGGCATACTAAATGCAAGACCAGTCCGAAATAATCTCTAATACAGAGACTAAACAAGCTAGCTTGAAGACGTGTGTTGGTTTCTACCAGGCCTTATGCTGGCAGAAAATAGCAAATTTAAAGATTATTTGCAAGTGACTGGCTTGTCGTAGGAGGCCAGCTTTCTTTGTTTTCAACGTTTTGATTAAAAAAGAAACAGCACTTCCAGTTGTTCTAACTGTTTCTAGCTGTTTAATAGAATAGACTGGAAAAATCAAAGAACAGTGGGCAGGCATGTAAGTTTGCTGAGTGAAGACAAATGTTTCAAATGATCTGGAAGCTGTGAAAGCAGTACTTCACAGCGGATCTCTCTTTTACCAAGTGTCTTTCTCAGAGGTGGTAGCTGGAGGGGAGAGGTGTGTTCCCCAGAGGTTAACTTCAGGTTAATCTCCTGTCTCTAAACTAGGTGTCTGCTCCAAATCACTCTTGAGAAAGGTTTATCTTTGCACAGAGCAGAGAGAGCCTGGGGAGATTATCAGGTCTGTAGCACACAGGGATTTTACAGAGGCTGGGGTAGTGGGATTTGTCAGTTACAGGGAGAGTAACCCCTTGAGTGCTGCTCTTGAAAAAAGGACAAGCAGATGAAAGGCTCGTCTTAAAAACTGAGGTTGTTGCTTTGCTGTTGCTCCTTGCTTCTCTTTGTAAAGCTGCACGGTTTTGTAGGATGTTTTAGAAATAAGTTAGCGTTTCAGTTAACATGTAGCAGCATAATACAAGGTCAGACTATGAGATGAGGGGGAGGAAAACGAGGATGGTATAACTTACATGATTGTCTAACCTGTACAATATAATTACCTTGGGTAGTATCTTATTAATTTGCATATTGTGCAGTGTTTAGATTGAAGAGGCCAGAGGAGTATTGTGATTATAATAGAGATAAATGCATCTTTTTGAATGAAGCATGCTTGTTCTGTCTTGCCAGTTTTCAATTCTTACCTACTTACGAGCGCTTGTTTTTCTCCCAGGTTGTAGGAGGCCTAGATATCCACAAAAAGATGGTGGTAGATGTGTGACTCTGTAGGGCACCACCCAACACTTTTGCTTTCTTCTCCATCTCTGAAGATCTGCTCAAGACGTCCAGCAATGCTCTCTGTGTATTTAAATGGAAGTATTTTTCTCTGTGAAGCCACATTTTCCAACATGAGCCTCATGAAGCCAACTAAGTGTTATTGAACTTTTATTCTCTCAATAACTCGGTGTAGCACTTTAAAGTCTGAAGGACAGCAAAGATGGAAAGAGCATATCAGTGTGGTGGAGAAAGGGAAGGGGTTGGCTTTTTAATTTATTTTTCTTCATCTTTTATAACAAGGAAATATCTATCTATATATATAATGTGTGTGTGTATTTATATATAGATATATATGTAGCTTTCTATATGTAGTAGCTAGGTGGGCTTTAATTTAATATACTTGATTCAGAAACAAAACTAGAGTACAAAGTGCCAAGCAGAATATTAACAGTTCAATATATGGATATACATCCTTACTTTTATTTCACACAGTTTTATATATATAGTAGAAGAATGTAAAATTTTAACTGGGTGTTAGGTCAACTCTTTTCCTTTTCCTGTGACTGTTCAGATGTTTCTATATATTGACTGGCTGACAAAGCATTGCTTCTTATTACTTTACCTTAATGACATTTTTTGTAACACAGGAGACTAAGTTTATTTATACCTGTTAATATATTACCAGGGACTGTGTCTCTTTGCTAAATAACTTAGTACAATTCTACTTAATATGAGAATATAGTTTAATGCTACTGCCAAGAACTAGCCCTCATGTGCATATAGTAACTGCAGAATGCTTTGGTGGCCACTAGATTTTGTCACTTAGGGATCGGGAACAGTTAGAGCTGTCCCACGGTTAGTGCACATCTGCTGTTTTGGATTCATTTTAGATACGGCTGCTCAAGGTGTTAGACACATTCATGATTTTCTCTTGTGCTTAGCTTAATGGAATTAGGACCTACGTAAGTGTGCAGGATTCCCATCTACTTATTTTATACAGTTCTTAGACTATAAAGTGTTCTTGCCATTTAAATTCTGTTGTTTCAACAGTGATAGTTTCCCCTCTGCATTTAAAGAATACTACAGGTAGCATAAATAACTGGTAATGTTTTATATATAATATATATATGTATATAGGATTCATACAGGGGGAAAATCTTGTTAACCTATGCCATAGAGGAGGAAAACTTCACACTATCTAAATTTATACCTCTTGCGGTTCTCCAGTCCTTTGCCTGGAGAATTTTTTTTCTTTTCTAGATTTGTCCATATCATAATTTGTAATGGATGGTAACTTGATATATTTGTGTGATATAAAAGTAGCGAGCCATGTTTTACAACTTTATATCATCCCTTCCCTTTTCTGCAATGGTACTATTGGCTGGAAGACAAACATTTGCTAGATTTTTTAGGACAGTACATCTTTCCTGTATAGTAGTTTTTCTATTAAAAACAATTGTTTTATAATCAGCAGTGGAAAGTGCAGGTTGTCTGAACCTACTTCTATCGAGCACCTGTCTGCCATAGCTGTTCCTTCAACTGAGTGCTGCACATCATGGGCTCTGTCTGTGAGAGAGAAATCCAGGTGCTTGGTGTCCTTGCATGACATGAAGTTTTGCATGTAGATCGATTTGAAATGTTCCTCTTGTTTACATAATTTGCATAATTTAAGATAATGTTGCCAAACTTTGGTAAATGTTAATGTTCAAAACAAAAATCTCCACTACATGTAACTTTCTTCCTCTGGATCAGTACGTGGCTTGTAATCCCAGCCAGTGGTTGTATCTGTTCCAGTGTCAACTGCCATGTGCTCTGCTTCAAGGGGGAACTAGTCTTTTGTGAATTTTTTGTACATAAGTATTTGTTACAAACATTTTAGCAAATGCTTTTGATTTTCTCTTACTTGCTTGTGCATATCTTGGCTGGCGTTATAGAAATTTAGTGCTACCGTTATTTCCTTAGGGGGATTGGAAGGGGAGGGATGAGGTTTTTTAGTTTGTGTGGGGAAAAATGATTTACGTTGAATGTTTAGTTTTTCCTCTGCATGCTACATCATATGTTGTGGGAACTATAAGAACCTTCATACTATATGAATATAAAATAAAATATTTGAACCTTGGCTGGGGTGCTTCAGTACTTACCTAGATGCTTCTTGTTAACCTTAGGGCAGCTCTGCACCCTGCTCTAAGAAGAAAAGTTGTTCAGTTTTTTGTTCCTTGGTGAAGACTGACTGTCAGTGGCACAGGGTGCAGACAGTCCCCTGAACACTCCCATGCTTTTCGTGTTTCAAGACCAATCTTTAATGTTTTTCATAAAGGCACACCTGCAACTTTGTTAAATGCCCAAATGAGATAAAATACCGTGTTTAAATCTTACTAAATTGGGAATGATTGCTTTTTAAGCTGTGTCACACTGAAACAACACCAACCCTAACCGAAATAGGTGGAAACCCAATGGCAGCTTCTTTCTCAGGGAAAGGTCTGAGACCCCTGCTGGTGAAACCAACATTCCCTGTAGGCAGGTATTTCCTTTTACAGAAGCAGCCCGGGAGCCCTTTGCTCTTGCTCTTTGCGTTGCCTCCGTTGCTTCATGCATCCTAAAAGGCAGCCTTCAAAGTCTTAAAGTTATCTGGGCCTTCTGCATGCTGCCCTGTTCCCCTCCACAGCTTTTGGCCAGGATCAGTATGTACCTGCTGCAGGAGGAAGGCTTATCACCTCTGTGTCCTTGGCTCACTCTCACCTCTTACCTTTCAAGTTAATTGAGATAAATGACACAAGCAACAACTGAACAAACTGCATTGGTAGTGCGCTGTTTTACCTTGAGCTGCTCGAAGTGGAAGCTCTGTCCTCTCTACAGCTTGGGCTTCAGAGGTAACTGAAGGTAACCAATTTAGGCAACTCAGCAAGTCTTAAATCTCAGGAGCTGAAGGCTTGAATGATTTCAGCTGTAAAAATATTGCTGGGCTATAAAGTGCTGCAGTGTTTATGTGGACAAAGAAATGCTTACTTGTTGATTTTTTTGATAATCTCATTTCACTTTCTGTTTTCATTCACAGACCTAAGCTGAGTTATTTTGCAAGATCTGTAACAAGTTCGGCTGGTGGAAGGCAGGAGAAAGCCCTTGTTTAATAAATCAACTCAGTATGGTTACTGCAGCCCCCTGTTCTGTCACATGCAGCATTTTAAGAGGCAAGACATCCAGCACTGACAGCTGGTGGTGCTCCAGTCCCTGGCACTGCCCAGCATCTGTACTGGGAGGTTCTCAGCCTCACTAGGCTGCCCTTGCACATCAGTTCTGAGAACAGAATGAGAATCCTGGTAGGTGCAGATTCTAGAACCAAGTGCAAATAAGCTCTTTACCTCTTAGTCTTCATATTGTTTCTTTCTGTGATAGCATTGCAGCAGCAGCAGTCTTCCAGCAGCCTGTTGTTAAACTGTGCATTAGCTGACTCTTCTTTTCCCTAGGAAGATGCTGATCCATGTGTGGTTTTAAATGCTCAACTATGGTGATTAGTTCTGTCTCAAAACTTAAAGGCTTTCTGATGTACCATGAGCAGTCTCTTAATGCTTGGATAAACGTCAGGCACCCACACTTCAGTATAGCACTTCAGATACACAACTTTTAATGGCTTTTCAATACAAAGACTGTTCAAATCAGATGGTGTGCATGAAGGAAGTCAGACCGCACAAACAGTCCCATTTCTCTTCTGGGCTTCCAAGGCAGAGGGCTGAGCGCTTCTGCAGCCCCCATGAACGTGCAGCTTGTGCGTGTGGTGAGCACGCTTCCCAGCCCCAGTCCTTCATAAAGCAGCCAGACTGCACCTCAGAACCTTTCAGCTGCTCTGCTGGCCACAGCCCTAATATTGCCATAAACTTTTGATGGAGGACTTCCTGCAGAAGAAAAACCAAGTCAGCAAATACGGTAACACGTTACAGAAACAGCTCCCCTGCTGGTGTGCTTCAGTCTGTGTTAGTGGGGAGAACTTGCCCAGGAGTAAGAGATACTCATGGTTAGCTACTTCATTGGTCAATGCAAGCTCTGCATCAGTCCTGCTGGCAGCAGCTCTGCAGAGCAGCACCAAGCACTTTATGGCTGGTGACTGCTCCTTCACGGTGTGTTCAAAACAGCACTGCTCCCTGACACAGCACCCTTCGGGGAATGCAGGAGCAAAAAGCAAAAAATCTTCTGCATCATACAGAGGGCTTTGCAGGCAGAAACCAAGCCCTGGGCTAAAGGAAGGGGGAAGAAAACTAGGAATGAACAGAGTTCCTCCCCATGTCTTCCCCTGACCTCCCCTGACTCTTAAGAGCAGCAGGCAAGTCTCAGCAAGCTCCACACCCCCAAAAGCAGCTGTGGACACACTAGGGCACAACAGGAGTCCCCCAGAAAGCAGTCTGAAACTGCAGTCTCTCTTCCTGTAATGGAGAAGGTTAACTAACAGGACTTACCTAAAATTAGATTACAAATTGCTGTTCGTGCCATTTTGATGTTCTGAAAAGATCCTAAAATATGAATTTTCCTAAGAAAAAAATAGAGCAATGTTAATGGGGGATAAAGATTCTCCGTGGTTGCATAGTTAATAGCACATAGCTCAAGCAGAAGTTCAGAAGTGAGCATAGCATTCTGGATCAGTGTACTACTTTTCTCCACAGCTATAATTAAAAAAACTACAGCATAGAACCCATCCTCTAAATCTTTTTAGAAATAGATGTTTACAATTTGCAAGCTTAAGGCTATAGCAGCTTTAGAAAAAAGTGTTGCAGGGTTGGTGGATTCAACTGTGATTACTCAGGGGAAGGAATTCTTCAACAGCGTGGAAACAATGCTAGATGAGCTGGTATCATTGTTCCCATAACAAAAGGTCAAATACTCAATTAGTGTTCATTAAAAATGGCACTTAAAATATTTGTCTCACTGATGCTCTACCAAAGTTTATGGTAACTTGAACCATGGTGGTTCCTAGGAGACAAGATAGATCAGTGAAGGGATTATACTGTCTAGAAGGAAGGAAGTCAATACTTACGAATCAGCAAGAACTATTCGTGTCCTTGTTACATTTTCTATCGTGAATTTTGTTTTTCCACCTTTCCCTGCTATTCTCCCTATTGCTCTCGACAGATGATCTCCTTTCAAAGGTTTGACTAAAATGAGAACAAAACACCCGGTAAAACAGCAGTAGTACACAGCCCTCTGTAATGCTTCCCTCGTTCAAGTTTTTATTGAAATAACTCACTTTAAGTAACACTAAGGCAATTTTACTATTGGTGAAATATCACCTGTGTGACTAGAAGGGAAAAATCACATCAGTGATAAGTGACCATGAGGTCTGTCAGAGAAATCCACAACAGAAGGCATTCCCTTTGTTACAGGGCGATTAAGATTGAAGAAAGAAACAAGCAAGAGCACATGGTTAACATGAGTAGAAATGACACAATTAAGTTTAGATGCTACTCTTCCTAGAGCCAGTCCCAGTAATGTGCAAAACAAACACTTCGCCTGCTTCCTACCTCTCTGTCATACTTGGAGGAACAGAGCCTGTTCCAGTTTAAAAATTAAAAAAAAATTATATATTCCCCAAAACACTCCTCCATGTGATGTTTATGTTAAAAAAAATAATTCCTGTAATGAGTCACATCAGTGGACAATCTGACGAAGTGCTATACTTCTAAGGATGAAGATTTTGAGCATTTTCTTGGGAAATCATTAAAAAAAATGACAATCCCTTTAAGCCTCCTGTACCTAGACAATAATTTCATGTATTGACACGAAGATTTTCCTGCTCCACAAGGATAAATGACACAAATGGAGCAGGGAAAGACACAGCAAGAACTCGCAGATGGTACACACAACTACAGGGAACAGGAGCAGAAGCCACTTACCGTCTGTAACTTCAAAGGACTCTAGAAAAAGATCATCTAATCTGATGAGAGCAAGAGCATCCTAGAATATTAAGAGATTTGTTATCAGCACAAGTGTTACAGCACCACAACACAGGGCAAGCTTGTGTTTTCTTTCTCAACAGATCACATGAATATTTCTCCATTTGATGTCTCAAACAGTTGGCTAAAGCTAGATCAGCTTCTTTTCAGTAGAAATAAAAACTTCTGTGTAGAGAACCCTGGAAATGCTTAGACCCTATGACATTTACCCAGACTCATCTTTACTACCAGAGTCAGTACAAGCCTGTGACAACAACCTGACTGTTCTGTACTACAAAAGCTTTGTTTTTTTTCCAAGTAAAGTTTGAATTTTGAACACAAATGGCTATTGGCTTGGATGAAAGCAAAATGAACACTCATATACTGCCAGGTATTTCCTTCATTTCACAATTTTACTTGTGTGCTTTTTGAAGGCTTTTTATTCTGAATTAGTTTCAGAAATTAGCCTCCCACTTCAGTCATAATTCCAAACAAGCTTCTTTATAGGAAACCACCCTGAAGATTTTCATTTCTTAATACAATTTCTGGAGAGGCCAAAAATTTCAAGCAAGTTCATCCAACCTCCCAATCCAGCTGCCGGGGACTCACCTCTACTTGGAAGCCAAGTATAAATGCTTTCACAAAATCGGCTGCTTTTGTTAGAGCACTTAGATCCTTTGTCTCCTGACAAGTCTGCAAGACACAAAATTCAGTTTGCAAATTAAGAACATGCAAGTAGGGTCAGGCCTTGAAAATTGTTAGGATATGAAAGCTAACCATATAGGACACACTGAGGTAACGCCCCTTCTATGTTGTATAAAAAAACAAACAAAAAAATTAGACCACAGAACAGCAGAGAGAAGAGATGGATGATGGTGGGAGACAACTTGAGGAACTTATTGAGATGACAGTAGCATTGAGATGTTTTAGCACATTACAAAACATGGACAGGTTCAATACAACATACAGGATAATAAAAAGATTAACAAGGTATTTGAAACATGTACAAACCAACCTAGCAAAGCATCAAATATTTGAGTTTTTGTTTTAAGTTTTAGACTTTTTTTTCACCCTAGGAGAGGCAGCAGCATCTGCTGTCAGGCAGCATTCTTTACTGCTTGTCCTAAAACTCGGCCAAGGCCTTTCTCTGCTGCCAGGGGAAAAAATTGCGTATGCATCTACGTTTACAGACCCCAGGGGGGTTGCATACACAACGCAGTAAAAACGCAGGGAAAAGTGAGAAAGCACAGTCACTTAAGCAGCGGAAAAGGCAAGGCAGGATAACTCACAAAACCCACTGTTAACCTACATTCCTGTATCTTCCGTAAGAAGCCAGAGATATCGAAAGTTTTGGTGGCCCCCTCCAAAGTCAGCTGGCTCCTGAGTGCCACATGCGCGCTTAGTCAGCTTCCGTGTCTGGGAAACGCCTCACAAACCACGTTCAACGCAGAGACCGGGACTCCTCCTTAATTCTCAAGTAAATGTTCTCCTATAAAAGTCCTCCCCAAAAAACCACCACCCACCTCTAGAAGAGCCTTAATGCTTTTAGATTCTAAGTGTGCAAGTTATTTGCTTCTAAACACATTTATTTTGGCCGCCGGTGCGTGTTTCCCCTCCCGGCTATGCCGCTGGACGCCCCGAACCCGCCGGGCCCCCCAGGGGAGCAGCCGCGGCCACCCCACGGCCCCCACCTTGATCTCCACGTTCCTCGTCTTCAGGTTGAAGCGGATCTGCAGCTGCAGGTGCTCCACCACGGGCGTGAAGATCTTCATCCAGTTCTCCTTCAGCGGCGTGTACCTGTTGGCGGGCACGGCCACCTTCCGCACCTCCCCGCCGCCGACCTGTGGCGACAGAGCCCTCAGGACCCCGCTCCGGGCGCCTCAGCCGGGCCGGACCCGAGCCCTCCCCGCTCCCCGCTCACCCCCAGGCTCTCTGCGGGCAGCGCGGGGAAGGCCGGCCTCTTGCGGGGCCGCGGCTCCGCCATCTCCTCATCCTCCCCCTTCCTCTCCTCCTCCTCCCGCCGCCGCCGCCGCCGCCTCCCGCTGACTGAGGTGAACCCGTCCCCTCCCGCCGCCGCTTCAGTCTCCATGGCGACCGCCGTTCGCCGCTTCTCCGCGCCCCAACCGCCGCAACGGCCGCACGCGGCCCAACCGCCGGAAAGCAGCCGTGAGGGGGCCGCTTCCGCCGCGCCTCAGCCCGCCCCTTCCCGCCGGGCGCGATGGCGGCGGTGGCGGCGGGTGCGGAGCGGCCGCAGGTGGTGTCGCACGTGCAGCAGGCGCTGAGCTACACGCTGTTCGACTGCAAGTGGGTGCCCCGCAGCGCGCGTCTCCTCTGCCTGGGCAGCGCCGCGCGCGGCACCGGCGTCCTGCAGCTGTACGAGCTGCGCGCCGGCCGCCTGGCGCTGCTGCGCGAGGTGAGCGGCGGGAAGGGGAAAGGGCGGGAACGGCCGCGCCTCAGCGCTGAGGGGGCGGCTGAGGGGGGATTGCGGGGGGGGATGCGCGCCCCCGCTGAGCCCCTCGTGTCCTTTCCTGGCAAGATCGAGAAGGCCAAGCCGATCAAATGCGGGACCTTCGGCGCCGCCTCGCTGCAGCAGAGATACCTGGCCACCGGGGACTTCGCGGGGAGCCTCAATGTGTGGTAAGCGACCCGCCGCTTGTCGCCCCAAAATGTGGGTGCTGCGCGGTGCTTCGGTCGGTGCTGCCCCTCCCGTGGTCAAAAGCGCCCCAGCGAGGCCCTTCGGCTGTAAAAGGGGCTGCTGCGTGGGTGCACGGCTGTAGGAGGCTGCCCCCAGCCTTAATACGACACCTGTGTTGTATGCACTTACTGGGCTTGATGGGTTTTCCTGGTCCCTCAGTGGTTCGTGTAATAAATTTTTGTAGATACATCAATCATCAATTAAGCAAGAGGGTCCAAAAAGCACTTTTTAAAGAAATTACTGCTGTATTTCATGTGCTCATGTGTTGGTGGAACACTGAGAATGGTGTGGATCAGTCCCTCCTTGAAAAGAGATTAAAGATGCTGCATGATGAGGGGTTCTCCAAGGAGGAGAATCAGCAGGAAAGAGCCGCAAAACCCAGAGGTGGATGCAAAGCTCCTTTGGAGGCCACTTGTCAGAGCTAGGTGGGAATAGGTGAGAGGTCACCCTAAATGCTTGCTGGAAGTAAAGCTCATGAGAGCATTTTGCAGTAAAGCATTTTGATCTGCAACATGACTTGCTTTGAGCCCAGCATAAAAACCCATTCCCGAGGGTTGCTGTGGCGAATCCCCAACTGTTTTACAAATAGAGGAATCCAGACCTGAGCAAAAGCTTTCAGACCCGTCTAAAGAACCAGCCAAAAGAATCAAAAACGTGTTCATAACATTGACGCCCGTTATTTGAATTCACGTACTTTGTGCTCACATTTCAATTTTTATACAGATCCTGACTGTCAAGGTAAATGCCATATTGTCTGTTCTTTTTTTTTTTTTTTCTTGCCTAGGAATTTAGAAGCTCCTGAAATACCAGTGTACTCTGTGAAAGGTCATAAGGAAATCATAAACAGTATAGATGGTGTAGGTGGCTTAGGAATTGGGGAAGGTGCACCAGAAATTGTGACTGGCAGTCGAGATGGTGAGTTAGTGACCTCTCCAAGTCTTTTTCAATTATTCCAAGAAAGCAGCCTGCGAGCTGTGATGGCAGGGGATGCTCTGCCATCTGAACCAGTTACAAACCTGTTGCAACTGGTTCTCGTATGAAGCCTGTCTTTTGAATCTTGTTTGGGACAAGTGATCTGTAACTCTTTTAGTAGCTGTAGAGAAGCAAAAGACACTCTTGTCACTGAGCGTGGGACAGAAGGAACGCAAAGCAGAATAAACACAAAGTACCAGCTAGAGAACATACATCCTTAGCATACTTTTCATTTATTTCTGTTGTTTTGTTTTGCTTTGCTGTCCACTAAACCAGTCTGGCTTTCTGGAATTTAAAGAGATGCTCCTGTGTTTTGAATGACCAGGCTGAAGAACAAAGGCCTTTCCTGGGAAAATGAGTGCAGCGTGGCAGTGTGTCCCTAATACAGAATCCCCTGCCCTCCTTTACAGGGACTGTGAAGGTGTGGGACCCAAGGCAGAAAGACACTCCTGTGGCTAACATGGAGCCTGTGCAGGGAGAGAGCAAGAGAGACTGCTGGACAGTAGCATTTGGTAAGGTACCAGATAATCACTGTTCCCCCCTCTAATAGTGACCAGTGCTTTGGCAATTATCAAACTATTTCAAGGTGTTATGGAATGGTTATTTGTATGGATGAGTCAGTAGCAGGTTTTGTTTTTCAGCATTATCAAATTACGTGTTTTTAATGTGTTTTTCAAAAGATGCCTGTTTTGTGATACTTGGATTTGGCCTAATTTTCTTACAGTCTTTGGTCAATCACTTCCCAGATAAACTGTGCAAGCTTTATTCCTAGGTACTTCTACAGTCCTAGGTGCAGGAATTTAAAATTTGTGTGTCTAGGAATGTAAAAGCAGACAAGCTGCCTTGTCCTAACGCAGTGTAACTGTTGCAGTGCATGGAGAGCCAGCCAATCACTGGTGTAGCATAATTCCAACTGTCAAGCATTAAGGCATTAATTTAAGAGAAAATCCTCGAAGCTAGGAGCTAATTAAAGACAGAGATGCTTCAGTTGGGCTCAGCATTTTTCCTTTGAAGAGAACAAGCTGTCTGTGTAGTACACGGGCTGGTATTTCTGGATTAGCTCCATTTCTGCCTCCAGACTCAGGCAGTAAGTTTTACAAACTGCGAATAAGTGCACGGATTATAATAACAAAATTGATAGTAGGGAGATGACATTTCTTGGCAAGAAGGTCCAGCTAAGCTATAATGCTCCTTGCTTTTGAGACCTTTGTTTTCTGCTTTGACTAAGAGAGAGAAAAGTGGCCTCATACTTTCTTCTGCTTGCTTTTGAGTTCCTGCTGGTTGAGCCAAGACCGGGTCCATCCTGAGCTACGCTCTGTCCATGCAGGTTGACTTCTCCCAGGTGCTGATGCGCCTACTTGAGCCTGTCTGCTGGGAGTGAGGTTTTGGAGGCAGGCTTCTGAGTGCGTGTGTCTAAGGGCTACTGTAACACCCAGGGCCCCCCTAAATGCCCGTGTGCTCAGAAGAGTCTTGTCCTGCAACGCTTCACGCAGTGAGGGACCAGTTAGTGAACCGCTGGACTGCACAGTGCTGTGGGGCCATTGTCCTGCCAGGGGAGCGTGGTTTGTAGCAGCTGAAGCAGTCTGTGCAGTTTAGGCAGCGCTTAGCAGGGGAGTAAGAATTTGTTCACGCTGTTTAAAGAAACAGACTGCCAATGTTGACGCTGTGTTTTCTGTACCTTTCTGGTTAGAAAACCGGCCTGCTCGTTCAATCTTACTGTCCCAATAGTAATGTTTTTCTGGTGTAAATTTAAGTTGAAATTGCAGACTTACGAGATCTGAAGTTTGTAGCCTGAGGAGGGTTTCTGTATTCTAACTATTTCTGTCTCTGTGTCCAGGTAACGCTTACAATCAAGAGGAGCGTGTTGTTTGTGCTGGGTACGACAATGGGGACATTAAACTCTTTGACTTAAAAACTATGTCACTGCGATGGGAGACCAACATTAAGAATGGGGTAAGGTGCCATAAAAATATGGTTTCATTCCACCTTCAGTGTATCTGTGTTTTTGGGTGATCTTGTTAAGTCCAAGTTGGTGCTGATGTTGTAAAGATAACCAGAGATTTACAAATCACACACAAAATACTATTTTTATTTATTTTATTATTTTTAGCAGTGGCTAATTTGAAGGCTGAATGCATTTATTTTTATGCATTTCCAGGTCTGCAGTTTGGAGTTTGACAGAAAAGATGTAAATATGAACAAGCTGGTGGCTACGTCACTCGAGGGAAAATTCCACGTTTTCGATATGAGGACTCAGCACCCAACTAAAGGTTTTGCTTCTGTTTCAGAAAAGGTACGTGGAGACAGATAACTTCTAAAGAGACAAACTTTTGCAATATATGCTGCTAAAGTAGTTGGAAACACTGCAGGTGTAAAATTACTGATAGGTGAGAGATGCCCAGGTTCCTAGGAACAAGCTGTGCAGTGGTGTTGCTGGTGTGGCCCAGGTGCAAGCAGCAAAAGGGCTCCTGTCTGTCCTGCCAGCGTTCACTGAAGCTTCCTCTCTTATACCTGGACTTTGGGTCCTGTTGCAGTTTCAAGTTTGTGCACTCAGCTGTGCCCCTAGTCCGGGAGTCTTGTATGTCGGAGATGTATATCAAGGTGGGATGAGCATGCAGATTCAAATCTTAAATATATCCAAAAATAAAGTGAGCCCTATGCAAATGCTGTTTTATCCTGCATCACAAGACCTCGTATGAGCCACAGAAATCATTATTTCTCTTCAGAACCAAAGGTTTTTGGCTTGCTATACTGAGGGTGAGTGAAAGGAATATGTAGGGGAAACCTAGGGCCCTGAAAGCTCTTGAATGTGGAGAACTTAAAATAATCAACAAGAGTGGTCATAGACAGAAGACACAAGGTTGTGAGTTCTTTATAAAGCCGTATGATTATTTTTGGTGAACAAAATCTGATGTCAATTAGAAAAACTAACTTTTTTTTGTGGTTAAGCTCTCTAGGACTGCCTGAATTAGAAAAATCTGAATTTCAGCTGAGTATCTTTAAATCCCTATTTAACACATCTCCAGGCAAAGCAGATCAGATGTTGGAAGTACTTTGATTAGATAACGCAGAACTATTTTCCAAATTAGAGTTTGTAATAATCAAAATATGAAAGTGGGATTTGTTATCATTCATTAGTTGCATCTAAGTTTTTTGTTTGTTTGTTTTTGTTTTGTTTTGGTTTTGGACACTTGTAGGCAGATATGCATAAGGTCAGAGTATGAGTGTTAAGACTTTTCTTCAAGTGATTTCTGTTGCTGTGCGATCTTCCGTGCCCTGGCTGAGATATAAATGTGAATTGTAGGTGTGTGTGTTGTGTTTGCGTAGCGTTTCTAGTATGTTCACTTGCAGTAATGATATTTAAGAGTTGTCAGACGTTGAAATTCCCCTTGTGGTGACCATGTCACTTAAGAGCCTGGGAATCAAGTAGTTCTAGAGCAGTTCCAGAGGAACTGCAGCCACTTCACCTCCATTTAGCTTTGCTCAGATGGCCCATGAAGCTGAAGTATCACTGGTGGCCTTGGTAGGGCTGCTGCTACCTTATCTCTGTGGAGGAATGGGGAATGTTGGGGACCTGACTTGGCCTTTTCTGTGTGGGGACTGGCAGGAGCCAGGGGAAGGGGCCTCAGAATGGATGTTCCAGTGTACACCGTGAGAAGGATGGGGTCTTCTCGTACAAGTGACTCCAGTTTAAGAGTCTGTGTCCTCGTGAAGCTCATCTGTAAATGACTTCAGTATGATGCTTTTGTTTTTTCTTATTAGGCCCACAAATCCACCATATGGCAGGTTCGGCACCTACCACAGAACAGAGATATATTTATGACGAGCGGAGGAGCTGGGAGCCTTCATCTCTGGAAATAGTAAGTGATCACTCTCCAGCCTACAACAGGGGAATAAAAAAACAAAACAATAATTTCTTGTTTTAAGAAGGAACCTTTCTGAAAATGATGAGTTGGGGTCCTGCTTCCAAGCTCAGAATATCAAGTTAAAATTATTGCTTACAAGTACAGTAGAAATGGTGATTTTGGTGTCAGTACCCAATTCAGAATCCTGAATTGATTCCTTAAAAAAAAGATTGACAGCAGCACAGGTGAATTCTGCCCTTGTCACTTTTTGTAACATATTCAAGATCTAATTATATCTTCAGTTAACATGGTAATAAATGGAAGAAAATAGGTTTCTTAAAGTTTTTGTATGGTTGCAGTTGCATCTGTGAAAAATATTGAAAGCCTGGATTCGTAATGATCTTGTCGTAATGTTTTATTATAGCAAAATAACTTAATCATCCCAAATACAGTGAAGTAGGTGCATCAGGTTTCAGAGGGATAGCTCTGAGATGAAATTTTTTTGCCTGTGGAAAAAGCCAAACTGTTAAAAAATAAAGGACTATAGGAGAGATGTGCCAGGATTCAGAACTTCCTACCTCATTGTTTTGTCATGAAATATTTGCTAAGTACGTACTATAGATATAGCTGGATATGATGGCTCATTATTTGGGAGATGTTTCTTTGCCCTATCTTGAGAACAGCCCCTTTTGTGTGGTCTTTTGCAAACAAAATGATAACAATGTGTTTGTATTGGTAAATGTTAAGTGCGTGTTTTACTTTTCTTATTGCCAGCGAGTACCCTGCTCAGCGCTCCAAGAAGGATTCTGAAGGAGCTGAGATGGGGGTGGCAGGTTCTGTCAGCCTCTTGCAGAACGTGACCCTGTCAACGCAGCCGATCTCTAGCCTAGACTGGAGCCCTGACAAAAAGGGGCTGTGTGTTTGTGGTGCCTTTGACCAAACTGTGAGGGTACTGATAGTTACCAAGCTTAACAAAGTCTGACAGGAGAACTTGGATCTCTGATGAGAAAGCAATATAGTTTGCAGTCTGTAAATATGGGAGGGAGAGACCTCCTGGTTCTAATTTAATTTCTCCCTTATTAAAACTGGATTAAAGAAATAGAAACCAGATCTTTCTATTGAAAGTTCAGATACGTGCACTTAGAGTTGTTTGGCTGATTGCACTGCGATGACTTGAAGTGGCCTGAGCACGCAACTTTCACCGTCTGGAAATGTGAATTTACGTTAAAACAAGATGTGCCTTCGTGTTAACGCAGCCTGCAACTTCAGCGGTAACTTGAAATTGCTTGTGTTCAGTTTAACCGCAGCGCAGATCTGTTGGTGCTTGTTAAATGGTCTGGCTCTTCTGCATATAGTATTGTCCACATGCACTCAGTGCAATGGGAACTACTGTGTGCTCCCCATAGGAACTCTTTGTGCTTGTTAGTTAGAATGTTTGTTAAAGTGACTTAGGGGTCTTCAATACACTATAGAATATGTATAGTACACTATACATAATGAATACTAAAATATTCAGGTTTAATTGAGTAGACTTCTTACTGAAGATGGTATTGCAATTAAGCTATTGAGCAAAATGCACTGTTTAACCATTTTAGTTTGGTTTTGTAATGAGTTTTTATGTTCTGTTGATTTTATATCTGTTTTTAACTTTGTATTCTACAAATAAAATTATATGGAGTGTTGTCTTGATATAAACAAAATATGTTATTCAAACATCGGGAGATGTAGGGAAGGAATAGACTTCTGTAGGTTTACAAGAACAGCCTGTAATAGTTAGAAGTTCATCATTTTGCAGTAAAAGTTACTAAAACTTGTATTTTTTTTTTCAAAAGGGAGGTAAGTTTGCCAAATCACTTCTTATTTTTTTAACATTCAGTATTTCTTCAAAACCTGCTGTGACAAAGTGGCTTTGTGCTGTAGTTGCACCTGAACTCTTTGTAATTCCTCTTACCCACAGTCTGTTTCTGATTTTAACACTGTATGGTGCTGCCAGCTGTTTTAACAGGCACACCCACTTAGCCTCTATTTGTGTGTGTGTGGTGGGGGGCTTCCTAATTTCAGCAAGCATTAGTAATTTCACTGGTCGCTTTCTTTGTCTGGTCTTAGCCTACAGCTCGCTTATTTGTGTAAATGCAAGTTTCAGGTAAAAGTATTCAACTGTTTTTGAAAACAGATTGAGGTGGAAAAATGTCAGCTTTGTCCGTGCCAACAGGAAAAGAGCCCTTGTTTTTTTTCATTTATGAAGAAGTTCAGTTTTCTTAGGCTTCAGAATGAGGAATTGCTCTCTGACAAATCCAGGTGAGCTGCCTGCATGGTTTTTCTAGCCTGGCTTTCTGCTGACAGCTCCTGACAACCAACTAGAGGCTGCTTGGCAGAGAAAGAGGCACCAGCTGTGTCTGTGCTGGTCCTGCCACCAGCTGGAGAACAGGCAAGATGTAGGAAGAACAGGGAACAGCAAAATGTGGAAGGAAAGTTCTTCTGAGGAAGATCTAAGGAGGTCTGTCCATCTGTCAAAAATGCAGCTCTAATCTCTGGTGTGGCACAGGGATGTGCAGGTTTCATTCTGGCTCAGCAAGTGGCAGGTTGTGTCGTGTGTGAGGTATATATTGGCCCGCAAGTGTTCTTTCAAGCAACGTAGGCTAAAGATTTGGCAGAAAGCAGAGATTTATGAGATCCAGCTGTCTTCCTGAGACTTGGTTTGCTTGCAAGTGTAATATTTAGCATACTTTTTTTTTTTTTGACACAAGTAATCCCATCTGCTTACATACATAGCATAACACTGAGAGTGTATCCTGAAATTATTTTAAATGTTGTCCTTTTTAACATGCATCATGGGGTGGGAGGGATTACAGAGAACCACTGCTCTGCAATCTTGGCTGCAGATTTCTTTGAAAAGCTGGGATCTGAACTTCAAAGAATCAGTTCAAGCACTTGAGTTAAAAAGCATTTTTTAAAGATGAGCTCCATTAGCTTTGTCCTGTAAATGCTTTGTACTCACTGAAAGGTATGCTGGGCAGCACAAGTTTGTGGAAAATAGCTTTTCTCTCTTTAACAGCAATTCGGAGTGAAGTAGAGTGAGGGAAGAAATAGCTGTCACTGTAGGTACCTGTGAGCAAAACCAAACATTTGCAAGTGCAGGACCAGGCTCTTGGTGATATTTCCTGTTACGTACTTAGCCTGCTGCAGCAATTTTCTTTCCTTATACAAGCAACTTCAGGGAGAGCTCCTAGTAAGCCTAGATGATAATAATTAAACAACACTTCTTAGTGCTTCGTGGGCCTCAAAGAAGATTAAATTTGTGCTACCTCTAGATGCTTAATTATGGGATTCATTTTATTTGTTACTTTGAGAATGAAGGAATGGTTTTCCCTCATGAGTAGCTTGTTTCATGGAGATGTGGCAGCCTTGCATGGTGAGAGTTTGCAAAAAACTAAGCTAGAGGAAAGCGTAGACAAATGATGGTGCTGACCCTGTTCAGGAAAGGTGAGTGTCTGTTTCTGTGTACCTAAAAAATGAAAGGTAGTGGTTGGAAGAGAAGAGCTGCTGCCAGTACCTTTTTCTATGCTTTATCTCCTCAGCAGATTGAATTTCTGCTTCTCCCAGGCTAAACAAGAAACTTAAGCAGACCAAGAGCTGCCCAGAGTGGCCTAGCTTTCTCTATTTATAGCTCTCCCTCTCTCTTGCTGAAGACTGGCACCTTGCCTCTGCAGCCTGGAGGCTGAGGAGCTGAAGTGTGTTCTAAATAAAATCATAACGCATCAGGGATGAAATGCACGAGTCCCCTCTGATGCAGTACCGCGGCATGCTCTGGAAAACCCCTGCTTGGTCCAGGGGCAGGGAATGGAATGTGCTGCTGAGTTGTTTGGCTTTACCATCAGCGACCACATTTACTAAGTATACCTGCTTGGCAACTCTCTCCTGCTTCCTGTGCAAAACATCCCCATGCACGCTTGGCAGAGAAGAACCTGTTTATGGGCATGACTGCAAACAGAACGTAGGTACGTGTCACACAGGTTTTTATCAGGTGCCACCCAGTTATTTCAAATCAGGGGCTCTTCTTTCACATCAGTGACACTGATTTTCATCATTCATATGGATCCTTGGTGATTACAGTTTTCTGTGCAGGTATCCTATGTGAGGTCTATAGCTCATACTTTTTGTCACAAAAAAAATAAATTAAGGCTTATTCATGCTTTGGGTTGAATTTCAAGCAAAGTAACACAGGTGATAACTCTGTAGGGGAAGCCTCAGTACAGTGCCGGTGAGGGAGATGAAACATCGCCTTTTGTCTCTGACTTCTGAAGTTCATCCGTGGTATGGAAGGTATTCAAAACCAGCATCAAAAGAAACATCAGACAAAAGAAAAGACTCTGTGAAAGCTTTTGGAGCATGGCACCATTTGAGGATTTACCCCAATAAAGCAGCCAATGTGCTGGTTGATTGAGGACTACAGCATGAGCAGGGGCTGCTTCCCAGAGGCAGCCTGCATGTGGCAGCCCTGCCTTGGAGACCAGCTCAATTTTAAGGTGGGTCACAAGCTACACAGGCTGCTCTCTAAGCCAGGTAGCAAGCCCATCGCTGTTAGCTGGGTACAGCCGCAGTCCCTGGAACAGGTGTGTCCGCTCCAGTTTTCTCTACCTCCAAAAGATCCGTGTCCTGCCCACCTGTACTCCCAGGCCTGCAGGATGTCACTAACTCTCCCCACCCCCAGTCACCATCTCCGTGTGAGGGGCTACAGAACCACGCGGCGGTACCTCCAAATTCCACTGGCAGTAAGAACAGCCTGTCCAGAATGCGCACACAGGGCTTCCCATCCCACACCAACAGCTCCTTCCTCTCTTGTCAGCGTGCAAGAAACCTCCCAAGGTTGCTAGCCTCTCAGGACGTTTCCTGATCAGAACATTACACCCTGACCTTAAGCGTGGCAGTGAACCTGAATGTTTTTCATCACTATAAAAAGCCCGTCAGCAGCATAAATAAAACAGGCACAGGCAAGCTCTCCTAGGTTGCCTGGGATTTTAAGGTTACGAAACAGTGAAGACGCTCTGAAGCTAGGGGACTCATGGTTTGCAGAATGGCAGTAAGGCCCACGGTACTTTAAGTAAAGCACAGATGAAGTCTCTGGGTCCCAGCTGCTTCCAGTTTTTTCTCTCGCAGGTAGGGGCTGCCTATGTGAAACCCCCCCGCTAGCTATGTTTGTGTCTCAGAAAATACTTAGGGCACAATTTTTATTATTTTTGTGTGTTAAAGGTTCTATTAATACAACATAAATGCAACTTCATTCTCACTTTGCACAGATACGAATGACCACGTGTGGTGCAAAGCCTTAAATTCTTATTTGTGGATTTGCTGGGGGCTAAGGAAGCTCTGCCCTCCTACCCCCTTCCCGATACCCTAGGGCATAACGGGGCTGTGCCCCTCTCCTGCAGCTGTAGCTGTTTCTGGCTCTGATTTTGCTGGGATGTTGCTCCAGCATCTGTCCCTCAGAAATATTCCAACGCTAGTGATGTGCTCTATTTATGAGAGGCTTTTTCCCTCCTGCTATCTTCATTTTTTTTTTTTTGTCTGTTGGAAGATTTCTGAGACAAAGGCAATTTTTTCCTGAGGGTTTCCAGCTTGGAGCACCACGAGGTTCAGGTTTCTAGGCAGCACTGCTGAAAAATAATAAAGTGTAGGTGCAGTTAATGAAATCTGCTCAGTTCAGGTGCATCCCATGCTAAACCTCTCATTTTCTGAGTCATCAATCTTCCTGCAGAGCTGACAGAATTTCTCCTTCATGCTTCTTGCTGGTGTAGCTCGGCCAGGCAGGGCTGCCTGCTCAGCAGATGTGGAGACAGACCCCTCCTGCTGCCTTGCAGAAGCGCACGGTGGCACAGGCCTCTGGCATCTTCCTAGCCATCAGCGTTTTCCCTTCCTGACATTCACATTCTCTTCCTCCCACATCTGTTGTTGCAGAACGTGTGACAAACACAAAAGCAGCCACAGTGGTCTTCCAGCCCGGCATCCTGCCTCTTCAGGGGACATGCGCAGGTAAATAACTACCAAGGAAAAAATCCTTTAAAATGACAACAGCAATTTGGGTTCTAATTTTGATTTACTCCTGAAATTGTCCCAGGCTTCATGCTAAAATGAAGTTGGAGAATGAAATATATGGTTCTATTGAGTTTATGCACAGAAGCTAGGAAGTGAGAATGGTGGAATGCTAATGCCTTTAGAAATAACATCTCAATTTCTAATACAATTTTCTTTTACAATCTTAGTGAGAGAGACAGCTATAAAAAATTACAGCTTTACATACTAATTGGAAAAAATGCAATCTTGGAACAATACCAGAACAAATACTCCACGCATGGTAGATTGCCTTCCATTTATTTCTCCGGGTTTCATATATAAATACATATAACCTAATAGATATATCTGCATTCAGCAAATAAAGCTTTGTACGTGAAGTAACCAGATATGCTACCCAGCACTTCACCACATCCTGTCATTTAATCTCGCTGGCATGAACACAAGCTCTTTTGATCTGTGCTAACTATCTTTATCTCAGCAGAGATCTCAGCCTCCCTATCTGTTATGTTCAAAAAGCTTTAATCAGAGAGTTTAAGCTAGTCTTATTGAATTATATTATTTTTCCTCCCTAAAACAAAGTTACATCAAGCTCAGTTTCCTTCTTTCCATGTACTTTTACATCT